AAAGAAGATTCACTTCTTCCGTTAATATTTCTAATACTGGGATAAAATTGTTCCTATAGGGAGTTAATGCTATGTTGTTTGAGAGAAATTATTATTTTCACAAATCGTATGATGCTAAACGTATGAAAGTGCGAAAGCTTCCATCCGCATAATTGGTAAATTTAACCTCAAAACATTGACATTGCTATCCACAGAGCAGAAAAATAAAATTGTTGCATAGTTTTATTGTCGGAAGCATTTGAATGAAGGCAATACTAATCAATCCATTAATTAATTAAAAAAATGGAACGATACCACAAAAAATAGGGTAATGAAGTCGGAGTCACATTAGTCTTGAATTCTAGAGCACTGAATTGTCCAGTTTGACGGGAGTAAAGAGTCCTATCAGTGCTGTCACTATGTTTATTCTGCATTATTTAACGTCCAGCTTTATGCCTGTAATTATGTCCACAATATTCATGGGTCTTTGGTAGAGTAATTAATGTGTCTTGATTGGTCACATTTACGCGCATCTACTTACAGCCAAACCTCTAGATTTAGCGGATGCTTGAAATTGCGAGGTGATAACAAAATCATGGGCCTTCATTTGCTGTTCGTTTTTTAAAAAAATATACAAAATTTGAATCAAACTATATTCAAGAATTGCATTAATAATTTAGTTGATAGGTAGGTATCGCAAATGTCCAGTGAATGAGAATAGTATATCGGATTTAATTTCTGTAGAAAGATTATCAATCGTAATTTTAGTAGTCTATAATGCTAAACAAACAATTTGCACTAAATACTTTTATTAAATAAGTTTATCGTGGGGAGGGGGACTCTTTAGCCGAATGCTAAAGTACCGCAACGAGACAGAGGAAATAGAGGTACGTTGTGGGATACATTTACGTGAGTTATGTGCGCATCTGATACAGATCTAAGTCATTAAAATATAATTAAGAGTTCATTAAACAATTCAACGACTATTGATTGGTAGTTTAACCGGGGGAGGGGGGGGGGCTTTGCTCTCACAATACAAGTAGCACGGCCGCACCTTTGAGCCAGTCTGAGTGCGTATGAGATTAGTGTGTTCGGAATTGATGGTTATATTAGCAGTTATCTCACTTTTAATCTACTGGATATCCACTTTCAAGGCTGTTCAATGAAATGAATGGAAAACGCTTCCATGCATGCAACTTTTGAAGTAAACGGGACCCAAAAAAACAATTATCCCAGTTCAGAATCCTCGAACCGCAAGCTCCTCAGTATATAGTAGAACTTGAATGCTATCCAACCTATTGTCCGATTAGCTACTTAATTAACGGACGCGTTAAAACAAAGCTTTATGGATATTTCTCCAAGTAAAATTGATTATTTATTTCAAATGACAGGAGCTTTGATAGCTATCATTAGCCATATAGCTGACTTCGGGCTTCACAGAGAGGAGGAGCATCAAGGTGAGAAAAAATTGGGAGGAGGAACAGAAGAGCGATTCACTGTTGTAAAAGGGACAGACAAGCACAAAGGTATAGAAAAAGGTAAGGTGAGTACTGTGGAAGCGGTCGAATATGACATACAGTGGGGTCATGGTAGTTTGAAGTGAGAAGTCAACTGCCGGTTGATAGACTTTTTTGCCGTATGAGTATACGTTGCCCAGGGCGCACTACGTGGAGGTAAGTCTATCGCGCACCCCTCTTCAAGTAAAATGAATGCCTTTAATTATAACCTCACAAACGCAGCAAAGTGATGAACAGCAACAAAGATTTATGTAATTAAATAAAATATTTTGACCTATTTGTGGAGATTAGGTGGATTATTAGGGATTCGAACATTCCCATCAATTTACATAAATGGCGTTGTCCTATTTGCAGCCTTTCGAAGTTCAGTTAACCTTTGAATGGGCATTTATCGCTTATTTCGTCATGCCATTTCCATCCAAAAGAAGAATCATCATCTAAGGTGTACTTTATGAGGAAAATAGGAAGAGCCATTCCATTCCATTAATTTCATAATGCGATGTCCTCAGGCAATTTAGACCAACAGAACCTCCGTGAAAGCAAGTTCGATTTAAGAATGGTTGGAAGACATTGGTTCCGAATGTTGACCTTTACAAATAAATCAAAATTCCTTTGATACAATAAAACCCATAGCTGAATTCCTGCCTTGGGCCTTAAATTCGCCTCTAAAAATAAGCAGAGTTCACCTCTTAAATGCAGATATGTTTATTATCAACATTGATGTTTTTTATAATTATCGCCATACTTAACTGCGTGAATTTCATGGAACAAATAAATTGGAAAGGCAAAGGAAAAAAACAAAAGTTACTTTCTTCAAGAAAATTTTACTTGGTTTTGAGGTATATTGAAACTGCAATTTTTTTCATTGAATAATTATACTTCACAGACCCAGTTTTCAATACTTCACCTTAGCGCCAAACTATTCCTATTTTGGTGAATTGTGTAAACATTTCAAAGCAAAATTCGTAGAAACAATATATATATATATGTATATATATATTTCAAATGGCAGACCCATTTTTTGACTTCGGCTTAACATCACTTCATTCGTTGTCTTCTGGATACCCAGTATCTCTGGATTTCCGCCCTTGTCTTTAGAGCTGGACACCGAATCAGGTGGATCTTCTCCATTTCCTCCTGTAGACCACATAGGGGGCGTGTGGGTTGAGTGTATACTCCCAATCTGTAAAGGTGCTTTGCCAGGCAATCGTGTCCGGTACGTAGTCTAAACTCAGCAACGGCTTCTATTCTTGGCCAGTCGGTTATGTCAGAGAGTGCCACTGTCCACTGTTTCTCCTTTGTTCGAGCTTTAAGTTCGTTGCAACTTGAGGTCTTCACTACTCTCCTGATTAAGGTCTTCATTAAGCGGAAAAACATCGGCAGGAATTCGTGCAAACTTTTTTCAGGAATACTTATGTGGCGTCAAATTTTGAAGTAATAAAAAATATCTTCAAAACCAGGTGGCAAATTTCGATCTCGGAGAATTAAACACCTCTTCAAACTTTAATAATTTGCCTAATATACTATTTCAAATGACAGGCGTTTTGAATAGTTATCATTAGCTATTTAGCTGACTTCGGGCTTCACAGTGGGAGGAACATCAAAGTGGGAAAAATTCGAGTGGGGGAACAAAAGAGTGATTCACAGATGTAGACGAGACAGTAAGACGCAAAGGTAGGGAAAAGGTGAGATAAATATTGCGGAAGTTTTGGAATACGACATTCAGTGGGGTCATGATAGTTTGAAATCAAAAGTCAACTGCCGGTTAATAGACTTTTTCCGTACGAGTATACGTTGCCCAGGGTGCACCAAGTGGAGGTAGGTCTATCGCATACCCCGTGGGCCAAAGGCGGACGCCATGAAGGACGGGAATACTTAATAATTTCCCTCCTCAGTGTCTACATTGTAGTCGACTTACCAGGTGATTAAAAAGTTTTGCTAATTTAAATGCTGGAGTGATGTTAGAGTTAAAAAAACCTCTCCAGAGTTCGTAAATCCACCAATCAGCTTTGCAATTTAAAGGCAGCTGAAAAATATTGTCGCCAGTTATGATAAAAAGGAAATAAATGGCTTGTGCACATTAAGAACTCGTGATGATATTTTCCANCTGATTAAGGTCTTCATTAAGCGGAAAAACATCGGCAGGAATTCGTGCAAACTTTTTTCAGGAATACTTATGTGGCGTCAAATTTTGAAGTAATAAAAAATATCTTCAAAACCAGGTGGCAAATTTCGATCTCGGAGAATTAAACACCTCTTCAAACTTTAATAATTTGCCTAATATACTATTTCAAATGACAGGCGTTTTGAATAGTTATCATTAGCTATTTAGCTGACTTCGGGNCGACTCCCTAATCCCACCGCTGACATCCACTTTGGGGTGTGCGATAGACTTACCTCCACGTGGCGCACCCTGGGCAACGTATACTCATACGGCAAAAAAGTCTATTAACCGGCAGTTGACTTCTCACTTCAAATTACCACGACCCCCCTGGTTGTCATATTCGACCCCTTTCACAGTACTCACCTTACCTTTTTCTCTACCTTTGTGTCTGTCTGTCTCTTTTACATCTGGGAATCGCTCTTCTGTTCCCCACCCCTCGACTTTCTGCTACTTTGATGAACTTTCCCTCTGTGAAACCCGAAGTCAGCTAAATGGCTAATGATATCTATCAAAACGCCTGCCATTTGAAATAAATATAAAAACGACTCCCTAGAAAACCCCACAGACGATTAAATGCCCTAAAATGTGGCTAGCACGAAATCCATCTGTAAAGGCACTGATGTTAATCACTAAAGTCCAAGAAAAGACTGTCGAAAGTCGTCATGCAAAAATGAAGGAAGCCCTAGGTGATGCAATAAGCTATAGGAAAATATTTGTCTTTAATTAGAAGTTCAAAAAACCCCTCCCCTACCCTCTATAATGCATGCACTTTTCATGTCTCCATTTTGTTTCCAAAATTGGGGTTGCTTCTCAATCAGGCTTGAAAGATTATCAGGAACACAGTCTTAGATATAATCATGACTGAAAGTACCCCCAAAATGTTCACACGCCAAATATCCTATCCGATGAACCAAATCAATGAAACCTTACATCAGCTTCGTCCATCTACTAATATTAGTAAACATTGTTGAAAGTATTCATGTGCACTTTCATTTAGAAGCAACGGATTCAATAATATTTAGAGCGTACCATGGAAATGCCAACAGTTTTCTGTAATGCAAGTGGCAATCTTTATCTGAAGTAGTATTTTAAATATTACAAAGACCTGGGAAAAGAGAGGGGGGGGGACGCAAGACGTGCGATCACTCTGATGACTTCAATTTTTTCGATGCTGGGAGAGCAATCTCCTCCATGCCTTTCTTCGAAGGCCTGGCTTTAGGTCCCCAGTATGGTTGCGGATTACGTTGGTACCTAAATGAGACAGTGTAAAAGCAATAGACATTTCAGCATCAGCTTAAATATTACAAATAGGAAGAAGTGAACCAACCTCACAAGACCATCAGCTCGAGATGGTGGATTAGCTTCAGGATGTTCTTCAAAGCAGACTTTTGGGTTTTCTGGCTTGGCCATCAAGGCATTCATCACACGAATAAACTCCTCACTTCGTGGATGTTTCTTTGGAGATTTTCTTCTCTTCTTTTTTGAATCGGATTTAGTTTCACAATTTGCTCCATCTGCAAGTGGACATAACTTTTCTTGCTGCTCCTCGTTATCAGCAGAAATGTCTTCCACTTTGCTAACAGAAGCAGCAGCAGCAGCAGCAACTTCCGCTTCATGCTTACGTTTCCATGCACATATAACGTCCCAAATGAAAGACACTGGCGCATCAGTTTTGATTGAGCTCAGGGCTGCGTGGGAGTAGGAGACCCGATAACCGGCGTTTAGGAAAGCTGATCTGCAAATGTAGACGTTATTTTACATGATTGCTGAGGCAATAAGAGGAGACTTAGTAGTTGAGACTGCATGAACATTCACCCTGTTCAATCATTATAGTCAATACGGATACGACTTTGGTTCCAAGACGGTTTTACGTGCTTAGAAGTTACTTAATGACAAACACATGTTACTAATTTCATTTAAGTAGAAATAATGGCCAAGGATTTTCTAACAACTTCCCCTCGATGGCAAGCCACATGTCTAGAACGACATTCGAGTTCTGCATTAGCCAATATCGGCCTGACAAAGATGCGGAGAAACCACTTTATATTTTAACAAATAGGGGGTGCGCGATAGACTTACCTCCACGTGGTGCACCATGGGCAACGTATACTCATACGGCAAAAAAGGTTTATAAACCGGCAGTTGACTTCTAACTACCATGACCCCACTGCATGTCATATTCGATTGCTTCCACAGTACTCACCTCACCTTTTCTCTACCTTTGTGTCTGTCTGTCTGTCTCTTTTACATCTGTGAATCACCCCTTTGTTCCCCCTCTCGAATTTTTCTCACTTTGGTGCTCCTCCTCTTTGTGAAGCCCGAAGTCAGCAAAGGGGCTAATGATAAATATTCAAAACGCCTACCATTTGAAATAATAATAATAATTTTATTTGTTACTTGCCGATCAGGTGGGATCATTTTATCTAAAAAATTTCGAAACACCTCCCACCTAAAGACACACACACGTCANCAGTTGACTTCTCACTTCAAACTATCATGACCCAAGTGTATGTCATATTCGACCCCTTTCACAGTACTCATCTTACCTTTTCTCTGCCTTTGTGTCTGTCTGTCTGCCTCTTTTACATCTGTGAATCGCTCTTCTGTTCCCCACCCCTCGATTTTCTTCTACTTTGATGAATCTTCCCTCTGTGAAGTCCGAAGTCAGCTAAATGGCTAATGATAGCTATCAAAACGCCTGCCATTTGAAATAAATAATATTTCCTTTTTCTGTTTTCGTGCAATTTGTAAGTAAACTTAATTTTACCTAAAACCTAATTTAATTTATTAAAATTACCGTTAATCCGGTAAAAATTCTTTGAATGAATTTTTACCCTAAACCATACCAGTTATTGTAAAATTCAAAGAAAGAGATGGCGTATTTTTCCATAAGACCGCTATAGCACATTAGCTATTTATATTCTCTTATAAAAATCACAAAGCACTGCCCATTGTAATAGCAAATTCTGAAACTCCTGCAATGTCTGATGATTTAGCCAGAATACTGTAAGGCATAGAATATGTTTAATCAATACTAGCAGGTGGCTTCGAATTATGATCGTTCTTTTGAGTGCTTTAATTTAATATATCGATTTGCAATTTACCTAGTGTTAAAAAGATTTAATTGGCTTTTCGATAATTAAGGAACCGATTATGATATATATTGTCAATTTCTATCGTTTTAGTGCTGCTACATAGAAAGCTTTATCTAACGATTAAAACATTGCGACATCTATGCTTCCTACTCATTACCATTTTGAGTAGAATCAAAGTATATATTTACATATTCCAGTAAGAGAAGTCGAATTTGGAATGATTCAATAGAATTAAAAAAACTACAATTGAATTTCAAGGAGCTTACATTGTTTGAGTTCTGTTAGTAGTAGTTGGTAACTTTATAGGGGTATATCTCACTTGTTACGGATAATAATTGCTTAAAAACACGTTTTTGGCATGATATGATCCTTGGTTAAATTATGATCCAATGGCTGGTAGCGAATTGGGTATAACTGCAGTCAGTCTAAAGCAATAATCTGCATGTTTTCTCAATGGGGTGAGCGATAGACTATTCACTTCATGGTACAACCTGGGCAGCGTATACTCATACGGTAAAAAAGTCTATAAGCCGGCAGCTCACTTCAGACTTCAAACTACTATAACCCCACTATAGGTCATATTCACCCACTTCCACAGTACTCGCCGCACCTTACCTTTTAATTTACCATTGTATCTGTCCCTTTCACATCTGTGAACCACTCTTCTGTTCCCCCTCTCTCCTTTTAGTGACCTTGATGTTCCTCCCCTCTGTGAAGCCCAACGCCAACTAAAAGGCTGATGACAACTATTATAAAGTCTGTCATTTGGTATAATTAAATGATTTCTCATTTAGCGACATTTGATTAGAATGTAAACGTACCTTCTATTTCAATATATTGAAATGAATGCAATTTGGCGTTAAATGTTCCCAAAATTTATCTCAAATGTTTGGCATGTCAAAGTTTTTTATCATTCGCAAAACCTCAGGAATATTTGTACCGCAATTAAATTTAAATAAAAGGAAAATATTAAAGGCAAAGTTTCCTCTTATAAAATTTGTGCATAAAGTTTTATTTTTTCTGTTTTGTGGGCAATAATGCGTTCCTTACAATTTCAGATTGACAGAAAGCTCGCTGGTCATCAGTATTGTTAGCAAAAAATTGAAAATTGAAAATAAAAAATTTCAATCATAAAGTTTATTTGAGCAAAAAATCAGAATGTAATAAAATTGTAATTTTACTTGATTAATTAAATCTGTTTTCACAGAAAAGAAACACGGTATACCTTCATATTCCCTAGTGTCTATTTTCCTAAAATAGAATAAGGCCTGATGATTAAATTTCAAAACTCTTTAGAAAAAAGCTTTAATCTTTAAAAAAAGGTATCATTCTTAATCGCAAAATAACAGGTTTAAAGATCGAAGAACAGAATAAGAACATGAACTAACTATTTGGAGTTTTAAACGAATTATGCCTTCTACTTGTGATTGAGGGATGTGCGATAGACTTACCTCCACGTGGTGCATCCTGGGCAACGTATACTCATACGGCAAAAAAGTCTATTAACCGGCAGTTGACTTCTGACTTCAAAATACCATTGCACGACTGCTTGTCATATTCGACCGCTTCACAGTACTCATCTTACCCTTTTCTCTGCCTCTGTGTCTGTCCACCTCTTTTACATCTGTGAATCGCTCTTCTGTTCCCCACCCCTCGACTTTCTGCTACTTTGATGAACCTTCCCTCTGTGAAGCCCGAAGTCAATTAAAGGGCTAATGATAGCTATCAAAACGCCTGCCATTTGAAATAAATAAACTTTTGATTGATGACTAATTCGGGTGAGTCGTGGATCTCATTTCCCAGCGAGCAGTCACGCGAAAAATTTCAGTGCAAACGATGCTAATTAAACATATATCATAGCGTAAAGAAGTAGAAAATATTCTGACAAATAATTTCAAATTTAGAAGCCTTTTTAGTTGTAGTAGGTAAACTTATTCCCAATTTGGTCGGATGAAAATTGAAAGCTAACACAAAATGCTAGAACATTAGGGTTTAATAAAAAAAAATTATCCCATGATTTCCAAGATGTGGAA